GGCCGTAATTTTAAACCTGAACAAGGATTTACATTTTCTATAATAAACTTATAGTCATCGGCCGTAATTTTAAACCTGAACAAGGATTTACATTTTCTATAATAAACTTATAGTCATCGGCCGTAGTTTCAAACCTGGACAAGAATTTACATTTTCTATAATAAACTTATAGTCATCGGCCGTAATTTTAAACCTGAACAAGGATTTACATTCTCTACGATAAACTTCATAGCCGAAAAACAAGAGTTACTAGTTTTTCGTGAGGTAATTTACACTTTTCTTACATTCTGTCACGAACTGGATTATCTAGAGTTAAGTAGGCTTTGAAAAACAACAACTTGGTTAATCTGAGTCTTTAAAGGCTGCTGTTATTTAAATATTTTAGCGTTTTCACGTAAACTGTAAACAACATTTACCATGTACAGCTCTAAAAAACGAAAGTTATTAATAGCTTCCTTTAAAAAAAAAGGAGAAAGGGAGAACAGCTTTCCGAAAAAAAAAGGGAAAACATCTTGAAATAACATAAAATGACAGCACGAAAATTCTGTATACAAACGTCTTTCTTTAGGACCTTTTAACCAATGTTGCTTTATGAAGCACGTGACTTCTCCATGTTCTGATAACGCTTAACACGTTATTACATCTCCTGCTTCATAAACTTAGGCATTATAAATCACCCCCCCCCCCCCAAGAAAAAAATATTTACAAAACTCTGTACTCCCGAAACACATTCCACACTCTGTTAACGTGCAGCGATAGAAAGTAATTAGTAGGGGTAAGTTTCTCATCATAGTAGTCGATACGATACGTGTCTAGATACAGAAGTTTCACCAACGGTTTGTTACAAAGTTTAACAATCTTGTCTGTAATTTATTATCTGTATTACTAACAGTGTCTTATTTAAATACTTCACTTTTCAGTGTTTTTTTTTTTCAAGTTATCAGGTTTGATTAACTAAATGGCAGCTGGCAAGAGAAGACAAAAAAAAAAAAAAGTTAATATCTGTCCATGTATTCTGTTATCGTTAATTTGTTATGTTTTTGATAAAAGAAATGAAGACGACGTGAAATACTCAATACTCATCTTCCTTGAATGAATCATACATTTTATTACAAATTCTGATTTTTTCTATACAAGAGACTTATAATGTTTACTGAAAGCTTGCCAAATTTCGTGAAGATACATAAATCATACCGAACAGAACGATGTATCGATACAATCGTATCACGGCTTCATGATACGACATTCGTATCGTATCGCTGTATCGCCACACCTATAGTAATTAGTACATTTCTCATTCTTCAAAATAACTTCAATTCCACACTGTAAAGCAAGACTTGACTAATAACTGTCTCTTCAAAGGAGAAAATTAAGAGCAATATTTGAGTATATAACAGGGTGAAGTAGTCAGATACGATCTGCTTTTTCAGAAGTCACCTCGTTAATCATATAATACTGGCTAAGTTCTGAGCGCTAATCAAATACGTGTTTGTAAGCGTTATAATTCTGCTTCATAGAATTTGGTCTCTCAGTTCTACCTACTCACCGGTAGCTCAGTTTTAAGTCTGAGGGCTTATAATGCTAAA